TATGTAGCTAAAAAATGGTCTCTTTATAAAATCCTTTGTTTAATCTCTATTATTTCTGGATTACCTTGACAACAATTTTTAATATTTATCTAACACACTCAAACAACTTATCCCTGAAATAGCTTAATTATTATCTCTGTGCTTTAAGATGTAAATTTGTTTCCCTCTTTTATCTGAAGCTTAGTAAAGTTTTGACTATGGGGGACAGATAGACTTCACTTTTTTTCATTTACAGAGACACAGTTTAATCCAACTACCCTTTTAAACTTGTGGATTTTACCTGTCTCATGGGAAAAGTTTTAAAAATCAGAGTTATATACTATTTATGTTTGTGTTTATTTCTATGTGTGTATGTGTACGTCTTTGTATTTTGTGTTTGTCATACCAAATTGACTTATAAATAAATGAGCACTAATAAATTAAATAACTAACTCAAATTGCTTTTCAAGTTCACATGACTTTAGCAATATTTGATAAGTAAAGCTAGTTTTAAAATTGTTGGTAAAATAAATTAAAAATGTCTTCAGAATTTTAGATATTTTTGCTTAGGTATTCTGGTCAAATTTATACTATCTCTACTCCATGTTTTTCTGTCATAAAACTGTTCCTTCTCTGATATTTTTAATACTTCCTTGATTTGTCTATGAGAGTATGTCTGATTTTGAGCCTGTAGATTCTGATTTCTAGACATGTGGCCGTGACAAGGCCTCCAGACATACTGTGTTTACAGTACCTTGGCTGAGAGTTACAGGGCAGACCCAAGCTCAACATTTACCAAGCCTCCTTGGCCCAGCTCTGCCTCCTGTCCATGCTGAGGTGTTCATTTTTCAGGCATTGTCTTCAAGCTCCTTCTTCTACCTTTGGCTCTGCATCCAGTGCGTAACAATTAAAACTGATTACGTTCTAGGTTTTCACTGAAAAATATGATTAAAATAGAGTTAACATTATAATCATATGTATAATTAAAACTAATAGTAAACAAATAATTTTGTATACAGAGTATATTAAAATGTTAGAATTTTTTATTAAGAAAAGTTATTAAAAAGATATAAAGTTTGGGCTTTCATGAAAGGAAAATTAATTTTGTCTAGATTAGAGGTTATTTAAAAACTGTTTCAAAGAAAGAAAAAATAATGTAGATATAACTAAATAGGTATAGAAAGTTAAAGGACAAAGAATACTTCAAAATTTTGTATGGTTAACCCAACTAAAATTTAATAAATTTATCATACGGATTTTAAAATTAAACATTAACATACACTAATGCAGAGTTAAAAGTTGATTTTCTCTTTTGAACAAGACTTTTGTGTAATATTAACACAGTAGTAAAGATTTTTTTGCTTACTTTTGAGTAAACTGCAAATAAAAATTGAGAGAAAGAAAAAGGAGAAAAAACAGATTTTTAAAACACATTTTACAAATAAATTACTTTCATCATTATTTATGTTTAATAGAGATGGGGAAATGAAGAGAAAAAAATATTTCAGAAAAAAATATAGTATGAGCATTATTAAATTCAGATCCTATCCATTTGCTTTTGAGATGTTTTATTATCTGGACTGAATCCTAAAATTTAATTCCCTAAATTACATGACTATGACTCTCTAGACTCACATCTCCAAATTTTTTCCCACTCTTTTGATTTAAAATTAATAGAAATTAAAAATGTGCTTTTCTTCAAATTCTACAAGCTGAAGCTAGAAAATTTGATACTTTGAAAGAAATCATGATAGCAACTTATATATAAAAAGCCTGTTGATGTATGAACTACTTAGAAAGTTCACTAGAATACCTGATTTGAACTAGAATCCAGAAACATTTGTCAGATTGCCACTTCCTACTCACTATAAGATGCCTCAAAGGCTCCTCCAAAAAATCAATTTATAAACTACTCCAAACATCAGCCTCTGTTTTTCTTCTATTTCTATAAAAATGCTTTTTATTAAAAATCTGTGTTTCTCTGTTATCTGTAGAGGCCTACTTTTGAGAATTTTATCTGCAATTTTATTTCCTGATTAGATACAATTGTTTAATTGAACCGACTTGTTCCCAGAAATGGAAGACTCGTTTAATCACATCGGGCCACAATCGGTCTTGACACCAACAGCAGGAACTTGTTTGATTTGATTGTAGAAAAGGAGGTTTGTGACACTTTCACAGCATTCTTCTGAGAACATCGAGTACATGACCCCTCTCTTGCCCAGTCATGAAGTGGTTCTGTTTTAAGCATGAGCACCACAGTTAGCCTTTTTGTCTGTCAGCTGAGGGCATACATTCACAAATGAAATTTCTAGTCAAGTTTTAGAAAAGAAAAATATTGGGGCTCAGAGAGTAACACCACAAAGACTAGCTCTTTGATATGCTGGAGAGGCTTTAAAGGCTGCCTAACACTCAGGGTCCCTCTAACATTCTCTTATGGCCAGAGAGGCAATCACACAGAGGGAGAATCACACTGGAATTTGCTTATCTGACCAAGGAAGCTTCTTTTCAAAAACATCAAAATCACTTTTAATCACCGATCACCTCCCTCAACTCTCATTGTCTATGACAAAAAAAAAAAAAAAAAAAAAAAAAGAGTGACCAGGCAGGCGTGGTCGCTCATGTCTGTAATCCTATTACCCCAAAGGGATCCAGATCCAGATTTCAAGAGAGGGTTCTTGGATATGGCATAAGAAAGAAGTTGGGCCCAGTCCACAGAATAAAGTGAAGGCAAGTTTGTAAAGTAAAAATTCAAAAGAATGGCTACTACATAGAGCAGCACTGAGGGCTGCTGGTTGGCTATTTTTAATGGTTATTTCCGAATTATGTGCTAAACAAGTGGTACATTATTCGTGAGTTTTCTGGAAAAGATGTGGGCAATTCCCAGAACTGAGGATTCTTCCTCATCCTCATTTTAGACTACATAGCATACTGTCAGCTGAGGGTATATTTTCACAAATGAAATTTTTAGTCAAGTTTTTGAAAGGAAAAATGTTGCATAACTCCTGGATATTCCAGGGCATTTGTAAACTGTCATGTCACTGGTGGCAGAGTCCTTTAGCATACTAACATATTATAACTACCAAATAAGCAGTGAGGATGAGCAGAGGTCACTTTCATCATCATCTTGGTTTTGGTGGGTTTTGATTGGCTTCTTTAGCGCATTCTGTTTTATTAGCAGTGTCTTTATAACTGTATCTTGTGCTGACCTTCTATCTCATAATGTGACTAGCAATGCCTAACCTCCTAAAAATGCAGCCCAGTAGGTCTCAGCCTTTTTTTTACCCATACCCTGTTCAAGAAAAGTTGGTCTGGTTCAAACACCTCTGACAATCCCAGCACTTTGGGAGACCTGAGGTGAGCAGATGAGCCCAGAAGTTTGAGCCTACCCTGGGCAACATGGTGAAACTCTGTTTCTACAAAACAAAATAAAATGAACAAAAATAAAATTAGCTGAGAATGATGATGCACACCTGCAGTCTCAGCTACTGAGGAGGCTGACCCAGGAGGATAGCTTGAGCCTGGAGGTAGAGGCTGGAGTGAGACATGATTGTGCCACTGCACTCCAGCCTTGGTGACAGAGGGTGACCGTGTCTCAAAGAAGAAAAATGCATACTTAGGAATGCAACCACAGCTGGAAGGACCTTTAAACAAAACTATGTCCATCTCTCATTCAAATTCCAGTAAGAATCATTTACAAGTTAATTTCTGTCCCTTCACTTGTCTTAATAATCATTTGCTGGCCCTCAAAAGAATTGCCTCCATTCCCATCTCCTTATTCCCTATATAAGGGGGTATATAAGCTTCTGTTTCCCATTAGGCTATTGGGTAATCATTCTCTTGTGATTTCCCCATGATATGCACATTTAAATAAATTTTGTATGTCTTTTTCGATGTGTTAAAAAATGGAAACACAGCACTGCCATGACAGGACTAATGTCCATAGCTTCAGTGTCAAAAAAGGAATGGGAATAAATTAACAATACATGAAGCAAGAATATAAACCACCTAAAACAAATGCTCAACAAGAGAATAAATGGGACATGAAACACCCTGTCCTTAGCCTCAGAGATAAAGACAATAATTGAGGAGATTTTGCTTTGTAATCTACTGTGATAAATTCAATTGACAGATTCTAAAGACTTGGCATGGAGCAGAAACAAAACTTCTGCTACTACAATTATAATGAAAACTTTAGATATGTCATTTTAAATTGAATGACCATTTTGTACCTTAAAACCAGTTAGGTGTGCTTGAATTTATAGTGTAGAATATTGTAAAAAATCTAAAAGCATATTTGCAATTACTGAATACTTTACAGGAAGAGTTTTATATAAAAATATCTGTTGAATATGTGTGTTATGAACATTTTTCTTAAGACACAATTGATTCATATTTAAATTTTGACTGTAGCTAGTGATTTTTGATATTTAATGCAATAAAATCTTATAAAGACTCAAAGAGAAAGTTATTTCTGCTTATTGATATTTAAATAATGTACTTTTATTCACTCAACTTTTTTTTTCCTTTTTCAAAAGTGATTGCAAGATTCAATCTTCTGCATAGGAAAAAGAATAATATTACATGTATTTTATCTGAAATGCATGTGGATCTATTGAAGCCTAGAATGACTAGCACTTAGATGTAAGAATTGTTGAGAGAATTATGAAATTCATTTGAATGTGGAACAATTTCAGAAATGTGAATTGTAAGGCAAAGTCAAAATTTCTCTTAATGCTTAAGTATTTTACTAGATAAATGGTATATTTAATCTAATTGATATGTCCTAGGAGCAGAAACACAGAAATGAACAAAAGTAAAACTAGAAATATGCATTCAATTTCTTCCATTCCCCATATTACAGTGGACTCACAAAAAGAAAGACAAATTCAATTCAATTTGATAAATTCTATATTAACCATAAGATTATGTTACAAAGGAAGGCTAGGAAAGCAAAGTATTCTGTTACATAAAGTAGGAGAGTTATAAAGGCGTGATATGTAGCAGAAGAGGAGCGTTTACTTCAGCAGGAGTGCATTACAATTAGAGGGTAGTACAGTATGAAAAGTCATAAGGAAATTTCCAGGTTGACCAAAGCATACAGGCATATTTAGGTGACTAACAAGAAGAGACTAAAGCTTAAACAGGCACAATTACACAAAGAATTTTGCTTCTTCTGAAAATAAAAGTAAAATACAATATTTTATTCTGAAAACTGGAGAAATTCATAAAAGAATGTTAATCAACAGACATAAACTAGTTTGTGCTTTAAGGAAATTATCCTTGGGAGAGCCTTAAAAATCTGGGTTGGAGCCAGGTGTGGTGACTCATGCTTGCAATCCTAACACTTTGGGAGTCCAAAGAATGTAGATAACTTGAGGTCAGGAGTTTCAGCCCAGCCTGGCGAAAAGGATGAAACCTTTTCTCTACTGAAGTACAAACGTTAGCTTGGTGTGGTTGCGTGCCTGTAATCCCAGCTACTCAAGAGGCTGAGGCAGGAGCAGGAGGTGGAGGTTGTGGTGAGCTGAGGTCACAAAACTGCATTTCAGTCTGGGCAACACTGCAAACCCCTGTCTAAAAGAAAAAATAAATTGAATTGGAATGTTTTGGTAGAGCATAAATATTATAAATATATACTCCAAGAACCTAGAATGTTCTAGGTACAAGATAAGTAGTAATTAAAGATGTGTAAGATGCCTAGAAATTCTCCTATTATTTCTGGATAATAATAAAATTAAACAAAATTGTGTAATTAATTAAGGAGAACGTTCTCAGATGAATAGATACATTATAAGCATGTCTCAAATCATTTGATGCTTGTGTTTTTTTCTTACACTCTTAGTAAAACTTTAAGGCAGAAATTATTCAAAATGATTTAATTAACATTAATTAGAATAATTAATTTTCTCTATTTTAAATATAGTAACTAAATTTTGACATATATAATTATAATTATCACCAGGTATTTCATAATCTTGAATTACTATTTATCATGTTTCTGGAACATTTTAGACCATTGGAGTAAAAGGATCAATCAGAAAGGGTCTCTGTCCTCAAAAAATTTAAAGTCATGTATTAATGATAAAGGGAACAAGTCAGAAATTCTATAGTGGAAGGCTTTGGAGAATAATGACTAGTTTTTTGTATTGATGATTCCATCAAGGGAGATCTGTTGTAGAACTAAAGATTGGTGGATTGAAACTGGTACATCTGTTTGTACAAAAGAGAACAAATGGCTTCTTGGACACAAGAAGGCAAATAGTTACTTCAAGGCATATAGTGTGGTGCATGCTTCCTTTTTTTATATTATTCTATAAGTTCTGGGGTACATGTGCAGATCATTCAGGATTGTTACATAGGTATACACATGCCATGGTGGTTTGCTGCCTCCATCCACCAATCACCTACATTAAGTATTTCACCTAATATTATTCCTCCCCAATCTCCCCACACCCAGCTGTCCCTCCCCTAGCCCCCCATCCCCCAACAGACACCAGTGTGTGATGATTCCCTCCCTGTGTTCATGTGTTCTCATTGTTCAACACCCACTTATGAGTGAGAATGATGGTTTCCAGTTTCATCCATGTCCCTGCAAAGGACATGAACTCACGCTTTATATGGCTGCATAGTATTGCATGGTGTATATATGCCACATTTTCTTTAACCAGTCTATCATTGATCAGCATTTGCATTGTTTCCAAGTCTTTGCAATTGTAAACAGTGCCTCCATGAACATAACGTGTGCATGTGTCTTTATAATAGAATGATTTATAATCCTTTGGGTATATACTCAGTAATGGGATTGCTGAATCAAATGTTATTTCTATTTCTAGATCCTTGAGGAATTGCCACACTGTCTTCCACAATGGTTGAACGAATTTACACTCCCACCAATCCTCTCCAGCATGTTGTTTCCAGATTTTTAAATGATCACCATTCTAACTGGCTGCAGATGGTAGCTCGGTGTGGTTTTGATTTGCATTTCTCAAGTGACCAGTGATTATGAACATTTATTCAAATCTTTCTTGGCCACATAAATGTCTTCTTTTCAAAAGTATCTGTTCATATCCTTTGCCCACTTTTTGATGGTTTTTATCTTTCTTGTAATTTTGTTTTAGTTCTTTGTAGATTCTGGATATTAGCCCTTTGTCAGATGGGGACTTGACATTTTTTTTCCTGCTCTGTTGGTTGCCAGTTCACTCTAATGATTGTTTCTTTTGCTGTGCAGAAGCTCTTAAGTTTAATTAGGTCCCATTTGTCTATTTTGGCTTTTGTTGCCAATGCTTTTGGTGTTTTAGTCACGAAGTCCTTGCCTATGCCTATGTCCTGAATGGTATTGCCTATGTTTTCTTCTAGGGTTTTTATGGTGTTAGGTCTGATATTCAAATCTTTAATCCATCTTGAGTAAATTTTGTAGAAGGTGTAATGAAGGGGTTCAGTTTCAGTTTTTGGCACATGGCTGGCCAGTTTTCCCAACACCATTTATTAAACAGGGAAACCTTTCCCCATTGCTTGGTTTTTGTCAGGTTTCTCAAAGATCAGACGGTTGTAGATGTGTGGCATTACTTCTGAGGCCTCTGCTCTGTTCCCTTGGTCTATATCTCTGTTTTGGTACCAGTACCATGCTGCTTTGATTATTGTATCCTTGTAGAATAGTTGAAATCAGGTAGCATGATGCCTCCAGCTTTGTTCCTTTTGTTTAGGATTGTCTTGGCTATGTCAGCTCTTTTTTGGTTCCAAATGAAGTTTAAGGTGGTTTTTCTAGTTCTCTGGTCAATGGTAACTTGATGGGATAGCATTGAATCTATAAATTACTTGGGCAGTATGACCATATTCACAATATTTATTCTTTCTAACCATGAACATAGAGTGTTTTTCCATTTGTTTGTGTCCTCTCTTATTTCCTTGAGAAGTGGTTTGTAGTTCTCCTTGAAGAAGTCCTTCATGTCCTTTGTTAGTTGTATGCCTAGGTATTTTATTCTCTTTGTAACAATTGTGAATGGGAGTTTGTTCATAATTTTGCTCTCTATTTGTCTATTATTGGTGTAAAGGAATGCTTGTGATTTCTGCACGTTGATTTTGTATCCTGAGATTTTGCTGAAGTTGCTTATCATCTTAAGGAGATTTTGGGTTGAGACAACGGGGTCTTCTAAATATACAATCATGTCATCTGCAAATAGAGACAATTTGACTTCCTCTTTTCATAATTGAATATCCTTTATTTCTTTTTGTTGCCTGATTGTTCTGGATAGAACTTCCAATACTATGTTAAATAGGAATTATGAGAGAGGACACCCTTGTCTAGTGCCAGTTTCCAAAGGGAATACTTCCAATTTTTGCCCATTCAGTATGATATTGTTGTGGGTTTGTTGAAAATAGCTTTTATTATTTTGAGATATGTTCCATCAATACCTAGTTTATTGAGAGTTTTTAGCATAAAGAGCTGTTGAATTTTGTCAAAGGCCTTCTCTGCATCTATGGATATAATCGTGTCATTTTTGTCTTCGGTTCTATTTATATGATGAGTCACGTTTATAGATTTGTGTATGTTGAACCTGTCTTCTATCGCCAGGAAGAAGCCTACTTGATCATAATAGATAAGCTTTCTGATGTGCTGTTGCATTCAGTCTGCCAGTACTTTATTGAAGATTTTTGCATCAATGTTCATCAGGAATATTGTCCTGAAATTTTTATTTTCACTTGTGTCTCTGCCAGGTTTTGGTATCAGGATAATGTTGATCGCAAAAAATGAATTAATGAGGATTTCCTCTTTTTGAATTGTTTGGAATAGTTTTAGAAGGAATGGTACCAGCTTCTCTTTGTATATCTGGTAGAATTCGGCTGTGAACCCATCTGGACATGGATTTTTTTTCTGGTTGGCTGGCTATTAATTTCTGCCTTGATTTAAGACTTTGTTATTGGTCTATTCAGGGATTCAACATTCTTCCTGGTTTAGTCTTGGGAAGGTGTAAGTATCCAGGAATTTATCTATTTTTTCTAAATATACTGATTCATGTGTATAGAGTTGTAGTAATCTCTGATGGTAGGTTTGTATTTCCATGGAATCAGTGGTAATATCCCCTTTATCATTTTTTTATTGCATCTATTCAATTCTTCTCTCTTTTCTTTTTTATTAGTCTGGCCAGCAGTCTATATATTTTGTTGATCTTTTCAGAAAACTAGCTCCTAGATTGATTGACTTTTTGAAGGGATTTTTGTGACTCCAACTTCTTCAGTTCTGCTCTGATCTTGGTTATTCCTTGTCTTCTGCTAGCTTTTGAATTTGTTTGATCTTGCTCCTCTAGTTGTTTTAGTTGTGACAATTGAGTTGATTTTAGATCTTTTCTCACTTCTCATGTTGGCATTTAGTGCTACAAATTTCCCTCTAGACATTACTTTAAATGTGTCCCAGATATTCTGGTACATTGTGTCCCTCTTTGTTTTGAAGATTAGTTACCTAAAAAAAGTAACTCATCTAGTTAAAATAAAAAAATTTTTTTAATTATATAAGATGTTAACAAACAAGTAAGAGCAAGTCTATAATTTATGTAGGTTCTTATTTTCAATAAGACTGACTGAATAAAGGAGACAAGCTTGTCCAATAATAGATCAAAATGCTAAATTTACATCTCAAAGGATCCACAGAAAAGAAAATGATACAGTGAGAAAATAGTCAACATTTAAATTATGTCAGTACCTTTCATTCAAAACACAGTATATGTGATACTACATACAAATAAGGAAGACCCAGTGCCCAGGCCAGAAAGAATGTAAAGTGCTTTTGAATGAATTAACTGAGAATCAAAATGATTATTCTACAATTTGAATACAATGACATTTCCAAAAAAGAATATTGCATTACATTATGTTTTGTTATGTTTGTGTTCTTGGAAAACTAACTTAGTAATCCTTGCATGATATTTAAGTAATCTTATGTAAATTTTCAATTTGGAATTCTAATTTTAACATTCTTTCATTCCTTACACTAACATTCAAATCAGCAAATGAGCCCACAGTGAAAATTTTTCTTTTTACTGACTCCGTATTAGAACTTTTTTGTGGAAAGAAAAGTGAGTTTGTATTGTGTTTATTTATATCCTTAGGCAAAGATAAAAAAAGGGAGAAACCAAAATCTCAGTTAGGAACTTGGATCTTCTTAGTCAGAGATAAAGATTTTGGGAATGTTCAACTGTAATATACCTATATGATCTGTTCGTCATGATTCTTGAGTAGCATAGTTCTGTCTTCCTTCAAGCAATGTTATCTGTAAAAGGGGAGGTGTGATCTGACTGTAATTAAAAAAAAAGAGAGAAAAAAAGAGAATTTCAGTAGTTAAAATTTATATATATATTTTTTAATTTTAGACTCTCATGTTTAAATTAAATAATAAAGTCTAGACACGTAAAGAGAACACTACTAGCCTGGGCAACATAATGAGGCTCTGTCTCTGATAAACTTTTTTTTAAAATTAATCTGCTGTGGTTGTATACACCTGTGGTAGGGAAGCTGAGGTGGGAGGGTCACGTGAGCCTGGAAAGTCAAGGCTTGCACTCTAGCTGGGGCAATGAAATAAGACCCTGCCTCAAAGAGAGAGAGAGAGAGAGAGAGAGAGAGAGAGAGAGAGGACAACTTCCACTCCATATATGCAGTTGTACATATTAGAAAATAACCACAATGTTGTCTCATGATTTAAAATCCTTGTTTCTTCAGTGTCCCCAGCTTGGGCAAGGTTAATCAAAAGTATGTGTAACAATCAAAATGGTAATGAAATTAATTGGTGAGCTAGATTTCTATGTACTAAAATCCCTGCCCTCATAGTTTCATCTCTTGTCAAGCAAGGTCTCAGGTGGTTCACCTTCTAAAACTGTAGTTCAATATATCTGCTGATTTGGCCACCTACTGGTGGGCAATAGGCAATTGCAGTCTTTGTAAGTGCCATGTTACTAAAGCCACTGCCTCTCTTTTGAACTTGGCAATCCTACTAGAGTTTCCAGTGTTGTAATAGCAGAAATAACTTATCTTCTCTTTAGTGTTATAAATTATTTTTAATTTGAGCCAATAAAACATTATTTCACATTTTAATTCTTTTTCTCATAATTATTTTTTTTTTATAGTTATCCTTTAAAAACGCAAATATTGTGACAAATACTTCTGGGATTGACTCAAAAATATTTAAGAAATGGCACTTTATTTTTTATTAAAAATATATGTTTTGCTGATCAACTCACATTTATTGAATGCTTTATTTTATCCATAGTGCATCCCAATATACAATTAACAATATTTTAATTAATATTGTTATATACATTAGCCTTTCTCTCTTTTTTTCTCTAAGTTAATTGAGATATAATTGACAAACAAATATTGTACATTCATTCAAAGTGTACAACTGATGGTTTGATATATGTCTATATTTTTCTATGATGACCACAATCTAATTCATAAATACACTCATCACTGTCCATACTTATATGTGTGTGAGATGAAGACACTTAAAATCCGACCTTTCTTCAAATTATAAGTAAACACTACTGTATTATTAATCATAGACATCATGTGTACAATAAATTCCCAGTACTTATTTATCTTATAACTGAAAATGTGTGCCCTTTGGCCAACATCTTCCCATTCCATCTATCCCCCAGCCACTGGTGACCAACATTCTAGTCTCTGCTTCTATGAGTTCAGTGTTTTAAGATATCAAATGTAAGTGAGATCATACCATGTTTATCTTTCTTTGTCTTGCTTATTTTATTTAGTACAATGTCCTCTAGGTTCATCCATCTTGTCACAAATGGTAGAATCTCCTTCTTTTGTACACAAATATGGAATATATCTTGGCTTTTGTGTATACACACACACACATATATATAGTATATATATTCTATGTCTTGGCAATCCTGCAATGAACATGGGGGTGCAGCTATCTCTTTGAAATATAAATTTCATTTTATTTGAATTTATATATAAAAGTGGAATTAAGAGTGTTTAACCATATTTTTTCCATTAGAATAATTTTTCAGGTAAAAATACAGAGTAAAATGAACTAAAAAAAATTCATTATATTCCAAGATATAAAGGAGGAAATAGTTCAAGGATATATAAGAACTCTGCAAATTTTCTCAAAATGTAAAATAATTATAAAATAAAGCATTGATTTAAAAATACACCCACATATTCATTGTTATTTCTTTTTTTAGGAGGTGTAACTTACTTCCCTCTTCACTGAGCACTGGTTCTACTTTGTGGGTCACTTATGTGAAATGTGGTCGAAATGATTGAGGGTGAATTCAAAGTACAGTGTCTTACTCTGTTCCTGTTTCTATAGCAAGATGCCTTACACTGGGTCATTTAGAAACAAGTGATTTTTTTTTTTTTTTTTTTTTTTGCCCACAGTCTGGGGTCTGGAAATTCCAAGATTCCCAGTTTTGCTCCTGAAAAGCCAGCAGATTATGTCTGGTAAGTGCTCACTCTTTGCTTCAGTTAGCCTTCTTTCTATGTGTTCTCACGTAGCAAAAGAGCAAGGCAGCTCTTTGGGGTCTCTTTTATAAAGACATTAATCCCATTCACTAGCGCAGCGGTTTCACAACCTAATCATTTTCCAAGGATGACACCTTCTAATACAATCACCGTGGTGTTTTGGTTTGAACAAAGAAATGTTCAGGCCACAGACATACAGACCATAACAGGCAGATAATCAAAGTCATTGACGTTTCTGCTTTTCTCTCTTTCTGGGATTCCTCCTTCTGTGAGAAGCCAGAGGCCATGCTACCAGCAAGTGTCCTGTCACTGGCAACGAATCTATATGGGTCTGCAGCAACTTCAATTCTGGCCTCCTCAGAAGAAAAAATTCAAGAGAGGAGCATAAGGCAGAAAAAAGACTGAGAGAAGTTTTAGAGCATAAGTGAAAACTTATTAAAAAGCTTTAGAGCAGAAATGAAAGAAAGGAAAATACACTTGGAAGATGGCCAAGCGGGAAACTTGTTAGACAAATGGGTGATTTGTTCCTTTGACTTGGGATTTTAATATGTTGGCATACTTCTAGGTTCTTGTGTCCCTTCACTCTTGATTCTTCCCTTGAGGTAAGCTGTTCACACTTGCAGTGGCCTGATAGCATCTGGGAGGGGAGAGTGAACAATGTGAGTACTGGACTTGTACACATGCTCACTTGAGGCTTCTTTCCTCACCAGCCACATGTCCCTAGGAGATCATATACCAGTTAAACTCTGCCATTATCCTCTTAGCATGAGCTTACTCAGCCAACTCCTGAAATCTTATCAAGAAGCTATCGATTAGCAGTCAGGTTTTTTTCTCTTTGTAAAGAAGTTGTCTTTCCCTGGAGCTGGCTGCAACTAATTATTAATTTCCTGATCATCTCCTGATGATCCCTGACACTCCTGGTTGCAAGGCTAGGGGTAGGTTTCTCCTGCCCTGTTTATGTCTGACTAGCTAGCTACTGTAACATTCTACTGGGGTATAGCAATGATAGTATTGTGTTGCATCATTTAACCTGCATTTATTATTTATTGGAATGCTGCTAAAGAAGGCCTTTCCATGTAACTGCATTATTTTTTATATTCTATTGTTTATTTTTGCTAAAATCAAATCACAACTACTTATTTTTTTGCAGATATATTTCTTTACTACTATTATTAATATTGCTTCTCAAAATATCCCATAATTGCCAATTGGGATCATTTGTTTCTGTTTTCTCCCGATTTCTCTTGACATCACCCTAACTTTGTCATTGTTGTTGTTGCTTTATGACTCCACAAGCATTCCAGTCTTATCTTGTACATTGCTTGCCTCAGTCCTGGTATCAGTCATGTATCTAAAAATCCTTTTTAAAAATTGGACAGTGATATTTGAAAACAAATATCTTCTAAACATGCTATTGCTGGGAATTCATTATTTTCTGGCTCTCTCAGAGGACAGAACTGAAAAAATAGGTAAGTATCCATCTATCTATAATATATATTTACACACACACACATATATCCACAAATAAGTGCCCAAATTTATATCTTTTCTATCTGCTTTTATATCTATTCATCTATTTCCTCTGATTTGAATCCAGCATCACAAGATTCATCCTATCCTTTCTCCTTTTCTATATACTATATTTTTCTGACAGTGAGAGATCTAGCTTTCATTATCCACAGTATATTTACTTAATTGCTCATTACTGGAATATGTATATTAATTTCAGAATTGCTCACCAACATCTCTAAATAAAACGAATTCACTAACCAAAGTACACTGTTCATATATGTTTGTCTGTAGCTTTAGGTTATATAGTCAAATGCTATTTTCATCACCATCCCCTTCTGCTGAAGTGTAATTATGATTTTCACTTCTAATACAGCAAGTCTTATTAATTGCTCCCTGAACTCCATTTTGAGTTTTATTAACATTTTGATAATTTTTAATTATGCATATATTTTTCAGTATGTGAATAATTAGGTATGGATCTAAAAGTCAGGACTTTACAGAAAGGTTTATTCAGAGGAGTATGACTCCTCCATAATGCTTTCTCTTCTATCTACATTTACTCATTACCACCCAAACCCTGCAGACAGTCAAACTTAGTAGCTCTTTCTAATTCCTTCTGATTTGTTTGTTTGCTTTTTGTTCATTTTCCTGACTGGGTAAATACATGCAGCTGCTCCTATTTCCTCTTTGTTAAATGAAGGGAACACGCTTTTGTTACTCTTCTAATTTGCTTTTTCCTTTTTGCACTGAAACATGTGTTGTGGGTTTTACTTCAGGTTAGTTTGTAGGGATCATTTTTATTGTGTTTTATAGTTGCAAATAATTCTACTTTATGGCTTTATCATACTTTGACTGTTCTTCTACGTATGGGTATTTGTGTTGTTCCAAATAATTTTGCAACAGTACAATGCTGTAATGAATAACTGGGGATGGATATGTGTGCATATTGCTGAAAAACATTCCAGATAATACATAGATATGGAGCAGCTCAGTCAAAATTCAGTGAAAATGCAATTTTATAAGATAATGTCAAATTTACTTCCAGAAGACTTGCATCAGTTTGCATTGTTAGCAACAATGTCTGATATTGTCTGCTTCTACAGCCTTTGCTAGTGAACATGTTGACATGAATATATATTTAACATATATTTATGCATGTATATTATATATTTAATTTTCACCAATGTGTTATGTGAGATACTGAAAATGCCCTGGATTTCATTATTTTCCTGAGTTCATTTTTAACTTCAAAATTATTTGGCTAGGTGGACATAATTCCTGCATCATCTATAGTTCC